ACAGCTGAATGTCTGGCATTTTACAAATTTCGGCATAGAATGTAAATAAAATATTCAAAATGGGGGAGGAAGTTATGTTCATTCGATATCTATTTAAGTTTTGTGTAACATTTTATACACAAATTCGTTGCCACATATAAATATCCCGCAAACATATTTATCAACACAACAAAAACAGTTCATATAAAACCCCCAAATGACTAGAGCCGGATTAAATTACATTATCCTTCACATAATATCCTTCATATAAATTTTGCCCAAAATATTTTACAAGCATTTTGCGTTTTGAATAACAAAATCCTCACAACAACATTCATATCAATTTTGAATTTATGACACTTTATTGAAATTCAATCGAATGGATTAGTCAATGAAGTCATTGGCAACCAAACAACTTTAACTCCCGGAAAAATGGGGAAAGTTTTGTTTGCAAATAAATCTATTACAATGTCATTAGGGTGCCTTCGGAGATAAAAATTTGTGTGGGAGAAATTTGTTTTTTTATCGAGTAGATTGGAAATGGAAACTTCATATGAAAGTTACAAAGTGCATGTTTTCCATTTCAAACTCTTTTACATTTTGGTCGAATTAATACGATGTGCAAATTTTAAATCAAATATGTAATTTTCATTAATATATTTCTTTTTTTTTTAAATGTTGACAAGCTATTACAAAAGTAAGTATTTCTTATAAGAAACGTAAGGTATATCAATTCTACTTTGAAAGTAAACAGACAGCGTCCCTGCAGAACATGAAAACAATCAGCTGATTGGTCAAAACAAAGAAATATATACAGCAAAAGAGAGAGAGAGAGAGAGAGCACAGATTGTATTCCAAAAAGTAGAGCGAAAGAGCATTTCTGTCGCCGCGCATTTCAACAGCAAACAAACGAAAATAAATAGAGCAGAAATGGCAGCAGAAACAATTTCAAAAAAAAAAAGAATCGCATATGGCTGAAAAAACAAAAATCCGTAGTGAAATAAAGGACCAACTATAAAAATAATTGGCTTAACTCTAGTTTAGTAAAAACTCTTCCATTTTTTCCAGAGGTAGGTATTTTTACCCAGATCCTGGGAAACTATTTTTTCTTGGGGGACGGACAAGGGACCCCCAGACGTTTTACCAGAAAGTCCGGGTTCAAGACCCGGGCTGGACCAGCTTTAATATATTGGGCAAGTGGATCCGAAAAAAAGTTTCCCGGAATCAAGGTAAAAATACCTACCTCTGGAAAAAAATTTCTAAAAAATCGAAGAGTTTTTACTAAACTAGAGTTGTTCCAAATAATTTTATTTTTTATGAAAGTAAAATAAACTTTTATAGTTAAGGAATCCCGGAATCTTGACCTTGAAAGATTGTTTTTTTGATGCAGGAAAAAGCTTCCTCAGTGGTGGAAAACTTATTCCTACTGGTGGAAAACTTATTTTTAATAGAACCAATTATAAAATGGCTGTCGATTTTGCCAACATATTTATGTATACCCTCAGCCAGTATTCGATTATTTTAATATATTTTGACTTCTGTTATGATTATTCAAATTATTGATCCTCTATGGAGTAGGAGTATGGAATGAGCCAATATTGAGAAGGAGTGGACCGGTATATCCCATCTTCACACCAGACTTTGGGTTAATGAAAATATTTTTATGTATGTAATTCGAAGAGAACCGGAAGCTTATTTCGGAATTTCTGATTGTTTTGGTTATTCAAAACGTTGACCCTTTGTGGGGGAGGTACCAGAAGGAATGGCGCAATGTCTACCATGTTCAGATGTGCCAAATCTAAATCGAATCCGATGTTAATTTCGGGTTTTATGAGCTTAATCAATATTCAAAATGTCGACCTTTTGTGGAGGAGGGACCAGAAGGAGTAGACCGATATATTCCATCTTAACACCAGATCTTGGGTTTATGAAAATATTGGGATGTGTGAAATTTTAAGACAATCGAACACTTACATCACATTTTGTAAGAGTTGTAATTATTCAAAATTTTGACCCTTTGTGGGGGAGGTACTTGATGGAGGAGACTGATATTGTCCATTTTCACACCTGACCTAGAACTAATGCAAATATTAGGATGTAAAGTTGGAACAAAATCGAATTATCCTTTCTCTTTCTGTGCAGTAAATTATTTTCTTTACAAATGTTGACATTTTGTGGGGGTGGGGGTGGTACCAGAAGGAATGGACCGATATTGCCCATCTCCGAAATCGATCTAAGTTTGATAGTAATATTACGAAGTACCAAGTTTGGATTAAATCGGATACTCCCTTCGAGAGTTATCGTGCGTGCACCACCCAGACAGATGGACGGACATCGCTAAAACGACACCAAATGTCCTGAAACGTATTTAATCCAAAGAAATGAAGGCTGGATCTATTTAGACCATGTTCTGACAAAGGAGATAAAAACCATTACGAACTCTAAATACCGAATATGAAGCAACTACATTTGAAATATGACTTAAATCTTTAAAATACCGAATATCGGAGGTACAATAGTATGGGGGGCTAGAAGAATACATGAAACTTTATAGACAATGCTCTGCCACCGGAGGTAAAACCCATTGCAAGCTCTAAAAAACTTGTTACTTAAAATTGTCCAAATGCCGGATATCGGGAGATATCATTACATGAAGTCTATACGAAAACGTTGACCGACATGGTCCAAAAAGTCTTCGAACGACCCGCTTATTTGCGATATGGCGGGACTGATGACAATACAATGTGCGAAAGTTGTCCATGTGGATTTTTGGAAGAAATGGAAAGGGAAAAGTATGGGTCCAATTTGATATTTATTAATGGCAATATGGATCGTAATCAGCATAAGACCATTTTGGAACAAAACCCGCAGACATCAGTCGATAAATTAGAGCCAAACTATTCTTTTTCATATGTGGTATTCTTATGTAGCCCTCCAGGGAAGCCACCCTAATAAATATGTGTACATCCAATAGCGATAAATTGTAATGCATTCGCCTTTCTTGGTTGGAATATCTTAAAAATATTGACTCCTTCAATTTGAAAGACAAACAACTTTGGCATTGAGGAAACCAACAAAATAACAACAACAAACACTATTTTTTTGTCTAAACTTCCGAAAAGCTTTTATCCAAGTCTTCGCAGGCATTAGCGGGAATGTTTGTAACACCCATACATGTATGTGGATATGTATGAACGCCTCAGAGTTAGGATAAACATTGAATATCAACCGCACCCATAATTTCATTTCCCAATTTTTGTTTGGTTTTCTTTTTGGTGTTGCTGATATTATTTTACATAAATTTCAAGTCAATACTTAGCGCGTAGTAACGTGTGTCCTTGAAAGAATTTGGTAAAATTGTAAGTCAACAATGTTGCTTAAATTACTTTTCACTTCTCCTCTGGCCCAGACAGTCAGCCACCCAGGCAGTCATCCGGCCAAAGCAACAATAGATGTTGTAAGAAAGCCATAACAAACACGCACACACACACACACTCATATCATTTTATAAAATATAGCATGGTACATTATTTATGCTAATAGAACGGAAACACGAGTTGGCGAAGGATGCCATATTTTAGGGGGATATTCGATAGAAATTAGAAATGTATTTTTGAATTGAAATATATTCTTATCCTAGACATTCAGAAATTTCATATCTAATGAAGTTATTATTTATTTGTCAATTTAATAAATGTATTATTCAATGTTTGCGGAAGTAAAAATGAATTTTTCGGAGACCAAAATTATTTGTCTTGAAATTGGGAGTAAAATGTGGAAGCATGCCATCCTCGTGATGACAAATGAATATTCTATGAGGCTTCTTGTTTTCCTTGCCACATTTGGGTGTTTATAATTTCAATTGCGTCTTTATTAAGATTGTAAGTCTAACTAGAGGAGAGTATGAACAAGTAAAAAGGCAGCTAAGTTCATGTTCGAAAGGAAAATGAATATTTTCCAAAAAGAAAAAAAAATAAATAAATAAATCCGCCGAAAAATACCGCTCAAATGAAAACCTTTATATGGAAGCTATACAAAGACGTGGTGCTACATCGTGATCAAATGCCAAATTTGAAACAATTCTGGTAAATAATGTCGCTAAGATCATCAAAATACCGAATATCGGGGGCTGCCGTTATATGGGGGCTATACGAAGACGTGGACCTGAACAAACAATTTTCTGTCTTAGAATGTAGTATCCACTACGAACTTCAAATACCAAATTTGAAACAATTCCGGTGAATAATGTCGCTAATATCATCAAAAAACCGAATAAAGGGAGGTACCATTGTGTGGGGGCTATAGAAAGACATAGACCCGCACAGACAATTTTCTGTCATAGGCTGTAGTATCCGTTACGATCTTCAAATACCAAATGTGAAACATTTCTGGTGAATAAAGTCGCTTAAATCACCAAAATACCGAAAATAGTGAGGCACCCTTATATGGGGGCTATACCAAAACGTGGACCTACATGGCCTATTTTGAATACCAAAAGTCCTGCAGAGATAATATACATTTAAGTGAAATTTTATCAACCTACTTCATTTCGTTCGGAAGCTAGAGTGATTTCCACAGACGGGCGGAAGAACCGACATCACTAAGTCGATACCCTCCATACTATGGCGGATTAAGAAGAAACTGCCGGACTTGCAGGATAGCAGAAAATCAACCTTTTGATACATGGATTTATTTTAAATCCTTCAAAATTGTAACACAACATTTTCCAGCATAAGTTACTCAGCAAAGGTTGTTAACTGCCTAGTCCATACACGATTTTTGTACATAGCAACTCCTCTATACGAAGGGTTACTGTCAACGCATGGTCTTCCGAAGGCATCAACCCAATAATTATAATATATTATTATATTTAAAAAATTATTTTCATTCCAAAACACTTCAATATTTAAATTTTCTTAAAAATATGCATTTATATTTTCTATATATGTATTTCTTTTGGAAAAAAAACTATATAATCCAATTAAAGCACTATATTGGACTTAACAATTTCTAAATTTCATTATTTAAATATCATTTAAAAAAACTTTTTGTTTTTATGCAAAAAATAATAACATTACAATTATAAAATACTAATATGTAAACATTTTGGCATATGCCCGGATAGAACAACTTAGAAAGAACAAAGGAAAGCTAGTGTATAATACAAAATAATAGAAAGACACAGAATAGAGTGAAAGAAATAGAAAATAAAATACATTTACAAAATGCTATAACAAAATTATATGCTTTGGATATCGCTTAGAGAGTGGTGGGTGTGATCAATCAATTAATGCTATTCACGGTAGTCACATCAATTTCCGTATTTTGTTCAGCCAGCCATTTACGTACTTGTTCCTGATTCTCTTCCAACCATTTCTTATTGTTCTTGACATTTTCCAATGCCTCCTTGCGGGCGGCAGTACCAGCACCACCTTCAGGATATTTCGTAAAGAAAGCTTCCATTTCATCCAATTTGGTTTGCGAGGCAAAACGGGATGTAATCGAGGGAATCATACGGCCCAAATAACGTTCATTAATGCCAAAACGTTCAACCAAACGTGGCCAATTTTCGCGTACATAATCCCAGACCAAAGCTTGGCCAATACGATTCTGGGCAATATACTGCAGACAGGTGAAGTAATCTTGGCCACGTACATAGTTTTCATTCCAGGCCAGATTGATATAACTATTGAAAAAATAAATTTTAAAATTGTGTTCCTAATCAGAATTTTCTTTATATTTACCGTTGCAAAATCCAGGGTTCCTTGATGGCAGCCAAGGCTTCCATTAGCTTGATTTTCTCCTGGGCATCTTGTTCGGCCACAAACAAATCCCAAACTTGATTCCAGCTTTGCTCATTGCCAACACTTTGCATGCCATAATAGTAAACAGTTGAACGAATATCAGGATTAGGTCTTTCCGAGGGATTTGCCAACCATTCCGTAAAACGTTTGCCAGCTTCGTCCAGGGCTTCAGGAACACCATAACCACAGGCAGCATTGAGTACCGTGACTCGTAAAAGGCTATACAAATTACAAGAACAATTAAATAATCCAATGATCCGGAAATGCAAAATCAAAAACAAAAAACTTACTTTTGCAAATGATCATCGTTGACATTCCATGTAACAGCGGGATAGACATTTTTCAACAGCTGTCGGCCATAATCGACAAAGTCACGATACAAATCGGTGAAATACAACAAATTCTTAATGGCACTCAGGCGTGAGGCACCCACATTCCAGGGTACATAATCCAATTCATTTTCCAAATATTTACTCAAATCCAAAGCAATGCTATATTCCAATTGTCCGGCATCGGCCAGGGCAAAGGCATCATTGATCAAATGAGCACGATCCGAGGCACTGAAATCGCCACGGCTTGTTTTAAGTGTATCTATCAGGGATTGCCACATTTCGGTGGGATAGTTGACACGATAATAACCGATTTGATCCTTGTTGAATTTGATCCATTTCACTTCGGCCGGAGTGGTGACAGTGACTGTAAATAAACAATTAAGAGATTAATAAAAATAAGTTAAACAGCTGTAAGTTCGGACGGCCAGAACTTTGAATATCCTCCAGCAATTTGGCAATTTTCAAAAAAAAAAATAAAATCCGTCAAAAATTCTCTTAAAATCTGAAAAATACCGAATGTAGCTGTTTTATTAGTTTCTATACGACGACGTGGACCTGCATTGGCAACTTTTGTCATAAGCCATAACAATATTCAAATGCGAAACTTGAAAAAATTTGTAATAATGTCGCTTATATCATCAAAATACCGAATATCGGGAGGTGTCGTTATATGGGGGCTATACGAAAACATGGAGCTACACAGACAATTTTCTTTCGTAGGCTGTAGTATCTATTACGAACTTCAAATACCAAATTTGAAACAATTCCAGTGAATAATGTCGCTAAAATCATCAAAATACCGAATATCGGGAGGTACCGTTATATGAGGACTATACGAAGTCATGGACCTGCACAGAAAATTTTTGTCTTAGGCTGTAGTATCCATTACGAACTTCAAATAACAAATTTGAAACATTTCCGGTGAATAATGTGGCCTAAATCACCAAATAACCGAAAATAGGGAGATACCGTTATATGGTGTCTATACGAAGACGTGGACCTGCACAGACAATTTTCTGTCATAGGCTGTAGTATCCATTACAGACTTCAAATACCAAATTTCAAACATTTCCAATGAAAAATGTCGCGAAAATCATCAAATAACCGAAAATAGGGAGGTGCCATTATATGGGGGCTATACCAAAACGTGGACCTACATGGTCCATTTTCAATACCAAAAGTCCTACAGACATAATATACATTTGAGTAAAATTTTATCAACCTACTTCATTTCGTGCGAAAGATAAAGTGATTTCCACAGACGGACGAACATCAGAATTTTATGTAGATCAAGAATATATGAACTTTGTGGGGTCTAAAATGTACATTTCGAGGTTTTACAAACGGCGGAACGACAAACTTAATATACCATCCATACTATGGTGGAGGGTATAATAAATTTTTAGAAATTCAATAAAGTAGATCCTTTGGAAGATAGTTGAACTTGATCATTAAATTCCAAATATGGTAGATTGTTCAAATGTTTAAATTATCTTCTTTATGCAAAGTGCAGAAAAAATTTTGGTTTTAGAAAAAACTAATATACGATCCCCAAACTTACCTTCATTGTCATTATAATTGAAAATTGTACGTTGAACTTCAGAATTGGAGCTTGTGAAATAGGTAATGGGAATAGACCAGTGGTAGCTACAAGAGAAACAATGACAATATTTTATAACATCTTCTTTTCCATACTGTTTTCAAAAACCCTACTTGAATGGCGAATCCGTATAGCTGCCTTTGTAATCTTCTGGATTGGCAAAGAATCTCTTTTGGGTCAAGGTATATGAGTTGCCATTACGTTTAACCTCCACAACGGGCAAACCCATTTGTTCGGTAAAGGTTTGCATAATCAATCTAAAATACAATTACGAAATTAGTTTTCAAATTCATTAGAATGGAGGGGATTTTCTTACTTCACATCAAAATCAAAGTTCAAGGCTTCAACTTCAGTTAGGAAATCATTGGTTTCGGCATTTGAGAAGTAGAATCTATTCAAATAATTGGTGGTGGCATTACGGAACTTCTCGGCACCAACTAAATCTTCCAGCATGCGTATGACAGAGGCTCCCTTGGAATACGTAATACTATCGAATAGCTCAGTAATTTGATTGGGACTTTCCACGGTTTGTACAATGGGATGAGAAGCCAATGTGGCATCCAGTTTCATAACGCCATGTAAATCGGCAATAAGGAATTGTGATAGCTATAAGACACAAAAGAACAAGTATGAAATATGTTTCAGAAAAAAAAGGATATATCATTGAGCCTACCATATCCCAGTCGGGATGAATATGAGCCACACCCTTGTATTCAATGTAACTGGCAAAACCTTCATTCAACCACAAATCATTCCACCATTTCATGGTAACTGTAAGGAAACAAAAAATAAAATATGTTCCAAAAAATAAAATGTTCCCTTAAACTTACCCAAATTACCAAACCACATGTGAGCCAATTCATGTGCCACCACAGTTGCAACACGTTGCTGATTGGCACTTGAGCTAATGGTTTTGTCGTACAACAAAGCTGTTTCCCTGTATGTTACCAAACCCCAATGTTCCATGGCACCGGAAACGAAATCGGGTATGGCAGCCATATCAAGTTTTGGCAAAGGATATGAAATATTGAAATATTCAATATAGTATTCAGTTATGCCGACACCAACACTTAAGGCATAATCAACTTTATCCACTTGAGCCGGTGTAGCAAAGACACGCATCTTAAAGCTGGGAACATTTGCAATTACACCTTTTACATCTTTCTCTTTGAATGCGAAGTCCGATACAATGAAACAAGCCAAATATGTACTCATCGGTTCACTTTCGGCGAAATGTACTTCGGTCAGGCCATTGCCAATGTCTTCTTCATGCTAAGCGGGGGAGGAAAATAAATAAAAGAATATGAATTAGATAAAATTATTGTTAATTTTAATTAGTTATAAATTTTGTAAAAACAATCGAAATTTTATCCAAGAGGCAATCAATCCCTTATTTGATACGAATATTGTACATATTCTCAAAGGAAATAGTTCTTATAGAAAGATACAAAGAACATATCCTCTACGAGACAGGCTTTAATTGCTTTTAATGTACACTAGAACCCCAACTTGCGTCGTTAATGGGGACCGGAGAATCGTGACGCAACTCAAAACGACGCAAATCGACTCACCTTTTTCTACCCTTGCTCAGTGGCATTCTTCTCTTATTTAATCATGTATCCAAATTGAAATTGCTATAGTATCTTGTTTAGATTGGAGTGGAATTTCAGCTAATTGATTTATTTTATCACTGTCTCTGTTGCAAATTGTTCTTACTGTTGTAGGGGCTAGTCCAAGAACTCTTCCTATATTAACAGCATTTTCTCTCGATTTAAATCGTTTTATTACGTCCAATTTTAATTCCAAACTTATTAATTTTCTTTTAAATTGACTCATTTTTTACGTCCTTAATGTACTCCGGCGAATCACACACACTAAATTCTTACCACAACCAGACAGTTGTTCTTAGCACAACAATGAAAAGGAAATTTCCCTTAACGTACAGGTGACGATCAGTGTTACCAGATATTTTAAAAATGCTAAACGACAGAAAAGATGCTAAACCAGGCACTGCAAATGCAAAAAAAAAATAGTAATCCACAATGTAGCTCGGACCGACGCAACTTGAAATTGCAACGACGCAAATCGAATTTTCTGGTTTTTGAAAAGCGACGCAAGTCAGGGCTCCAGTGTACTTCAGCATTTAAAGAATGAAAATGTCTATATTGTTTTTCTCCGCCTAAAAGTATGCTAAAGAATTTTTATACTAACAGACGTTTTTTACAATCTTTCCAATAATAAGGATAAAAAAGCATTTGGTGGGTACCATATAGTCGTCCAACTGCATTTTTCTATCCTAAGAATGTGCTTCACGCTACAAATGCATATATGGGTCTGACGGTAGATTAAAGCGAACTGGCACGAGTCAAAATATGGAAGCATTTCGAAATACGAAAAATAATATGATTATAATTTGGGAAAGGCTACTGCTTGATTGAATATGAGGTGTCATATCAAATATGATCATTATCGGATGTATATAACGAGCAGCTCAATTCTGAATGAATTTAAATCGTATTTGATACAGGTAAAGGCTATTTAGGATGCCTTGTTCTAAATATAATTAATATAGGATAGCCATTACGATGATGAGACGTATTAAATATATATTTTGGGACCGATTTGGAAGCTAATTGTAGGCTAATTTACTTTTAAAAACCAGGGAGCAGGGAATTTAATATAGGGTTTAGTAGGGAATTTAATATAGGGTTTCCTCAGAGAGAGCCGGTTGGTTTATAGCGGCAACCTTCACTTTTCCATGTACCCCAATAAGGCATGGGTTTAAAGAACCAAATCCCTAAGTAAGCTGCCTTATCGTTCTTACTCTAGTATTGTCCCTTAAGTAGATAGCTCCTTATCTAACTTTTTGAATATAATTTATATTAGATAATCATTTATTCAGTTATTTAACGAAAACTTACCTCAACATTCATGTTGGAAAGAGCATGATAACCATCTTCAGTTGGTCTGACCACAGTGATGGCAAACATGGCCTTCATGTCGGGTTCATCGAAACAGGGGAAGGCTTGGCGGGCATAGGTGGGTTCGAACTTGGATGTGGCAATTGATCTGTGAAGAAAAACATAAATGTATTGATTAACATGTTCTGTAAAAACAATTAAAAAAACTATTCTATATGGCAAAAGCATTTCTACACATCATAAATATACCTCTTCTCATTTTTCTTCTTATCCAAATAAGAACTTTGATAAAAGCCCACAATACGATCGACCAGAGAACCATTAAATGCCAATTGTAGTGAATAATTGCCCACCTCAAGGGGCTCTGCAAATTCTGTTACCCAATATTGAAACTCGGGATGTTCAAATGTCAGCGTTGGCGTAAGCGATTTCAATGGCTGCAAGTCTTCGCCTAGCTGTTGTACTTCTTTGGTTTCCACAGTCAACAGTTTCGAATGCAAAGGTATAAATGATATGGGTTTTAATACTTCCAGTCTTATGGTTACATTGCCCGTAAATGTTTTATTCTTTAAATCTGGCTGCAGTCTTAAATTGTATTTGTGGGGGCGCAACTCGCGGGGCAGACGAAATGATAGTTGGTGCAACACCTTTGAGGCGGTCATAATTCGGGGAGCCAGTGTGGTTTTGTTGAAGCGTATAACTTTCGATGGAGGTGGTGATGGCGTTTGTGTCTGCTGGTCTGTGGGACGAAAACGCAAAATGGGTTTCGTGGATAGTGGTATGCCGCCGTTTTCGTAACCCAGTTGACCGTCAGCTTTCAGAATGGTGTCGTTGTAGGAGAAATCTATTTGATGATGAGGTTATTAAAGGCACGTCACAAATCAGTCTTTTGTTCTTTGCTCCCAATAGGAATTGATGAATGGGTAAATGATGCAAAGGTACGTTATATATCTACTGCGGGAACAACTTGAGGGTTAAATAGTTTAAACAATAAAGCAAACAAAGTAAACTACCGGTTGCATAAAATGCATTTCCAGCAAAGTTCAAATTAACTATTCACTTAATGGAAATATGCACTCATGTTCATATGTCAACAGAACAGAAGGCATTCTTTGTGACTGCTTTTATTGGCATTGCCTTTTGATACAATTTAACCGTTAGCTTTGAATTTTGTTGTATTTTTAACATCTTATTTTCACGACAAAGAGAGATATGGTGTTGCCATACATGAAATGTATACTTTTTTCTTCTGATGCCACACATTGTCAATTGTCATGACAAAAGAGAGAAAATAGCCATAAACTCATTTTTTAACGAAAATATTCAATGTATGGCCTCTCATTGAGTAAATTACTTATACATTACCTTTGTAAAATTTCTTACTACCCATCCCCATCAATTCCAATTGGATAAAGCAAACAAAACAGCATTTTCATCTCCCAAAAAACAAACCTGTCTTATGCCTCTCATTGACAATATTTCGGCCCACATAGACAAGGGCACCCAACAGGAATACACACAACACCAACAGAAATATACAAAAGCCGGCCAATGTCAGCACAGCATTGCTTGGCTTTCTATGTAAATGATGTGAATCCTTCATTCGATGATGATGTTCGTCTGTGGACAGCGATGAACGCGGTCTTATTGGTATGGGTATTTTTGGTTGATGTTGTTGCTGTGGCGGGTACATTTTGGCGGACAATTGGCGTTTGTCGCGCGCCTTTACAACACTGGCAAAATGCACTTTGATCTGGCAATGCTGTTGCGTTTGTTTTTGTGTGTTGGCGGTGATGTGAAGCTTTCTTCTGTTACTTTGCTGTTGTTGTTAACATTTGTTTGTTTGGTTTGTTTGACAATTTGTTATTTTCGTTAGATTTTAGTAATTTTTACGCGGGATTTTGTGAAGTTTATTAACTTTTTTTTTTCTATAATTGAAATATATTTCGTTTTGGTGATTTGTGAATAATAAACATGCGGAATATTTTGGTGTTTAGTGAAAAGTCAATTGTCCTGAAATCAGGTTCTAAACAAAGGCAGTTGCTGCCGGAACATTTGAAGATGTGCGATGTGTGGTAATTTCTGGTGTTTTTTTGTTAAAATTAGATAATCCTTTGATTTTTTCTTGTGTAATAGGAATGATTTCTATGTTTGGCCTAATATTGCTGCTGAAATCTAAAAGCGAGTCCCAGCATTGGTAATTTATTATTTCTCCTTTGACAAATGAGGTCAGGTGCACCGTATCGTATCCCGGTGACTAATATAACCATCAGACGATTGATGCTAAGGCCACTAGCCATCAATGTATCCTACTAATTTGGTAACAAACTCTTCCGCTGACTGCATTTTTGGAAATAGCCACGGGCACCTTCTTTTTCATAAATTCTGGATTTATGACTCATAATGAAATTTGGAAAGGATGAAGTACTCATGAAGTACTCTGAAGTCAAATAATGGTTTTCAATAAACTTCCCATAAATTGAGAACCTTTTGCTAGGTAAGTACATCTTTATTTAATCTTTAACTGGAATTGGAATGAGAAATTTACATATTTTTTTACCCTTAAACAATATTTCCTAGAAGGAACAATTATTAATAAATATGTATATAGACCACGGATCGGAAATATCGTCTATGTCTTTTCAAAGATAGAAGTGAAAATACTAAAGCCACTCATATCTAAAATTTTGAGAAGTATCAAAAAATTGGCCATTTGAAAACGGTTCCGTGTAATGTTATCAAAAATACCCAAACGATTAAGGGCGATTCTTAAATAACGAATAAATATGTTTTCGAAGTCCCACAAGGCGACTAGTTCGTTCAATCAGCACCAAGACTCCATCGTCGGACGATACTCGTTACAAGACATTTTGAATCGATCTTGTTATGTACACCTGTTCGAACGTTCTCCCAAATTTTGTTCATTGTAATATATTTACAGACTTAGATTGAATTTGAATATTGACAAATCAGTCTACTGAATCCCGTAAAAAAATGTGTTATTATTTATAATAATATTAATGCAAATTTTAATTTTATAAAGATACTTGAGTTGGAGCACGATTTAATACAGTCCTAAGACAAAAATGCCACCCATATTGGAGACAATGATTTTAGGGCCAATGTGTCTTCACGAAACCAGTCATCCCACCCACATTGTAATATTTGTTTTATTAAACTTAGGCTGTTTTCGAATGTGGTACATCCCCAACGAGATTCAAACTCAGTTAAGGCCAATTGAAAATATCGATTCACATATTCTGTAACGATTTAATACCGATCATTTACGGATTTAATTTAATGCTGCCCTCGGAAAAATAAGTTGGTTTACTCATTCTGGTACTTTCCCCATGGAAATTCAAACTCAGTTTAGGCCAATTGATAATATCGATTTATATCTTTTGGTGTCTGTCGCAAATACAGCTTAAATTTTGAAAAAAAAATGTTTTAATGCAGCCCTCGGACAAAAATCCCATTCACTATTGGAAATAACGGTTTTAACGCCAATATCTATTCCCGAAACCAGTCATCCCACCCTGGTACCTTGTAATAATTTTATTAAACTTAGATTGACTTTGAAAGTGGGCAAAAATGTTATTCCACTCATTCTGGTACCTTCCCCAACTTAGATTGACTTCGAAAGCGGGCAAAAATGTTGGTCCACTTATTCTGGTAGCTTACCCATGGAAATTCAAACTCAGTTTAGACCAATTGATAATATTGATTAACATCTTTTGGTGCCTGTCGCAAATACGACTTAAATTTTAAAAAAAGACGTAAAACCAATGATACTACTTTTTACCCTAGGTCTTTTTGGCCCAAATCCGATTTAGGGCGTTTGATTTAGATCTAGGAGGGTCCATCTCTAATATTTTTTATTAGTGCTAGGTAAAGTGCGAAAATTTACAATATCGACCTCCCCCACCAAGGGTCAACATTTTGAATAATTATAACTCGCATAAAATATTAATTCCAATATAAGATTTGGTACAAAGTTAGAACGGGCCACGTCTGGAACCTCTTCCACAACGGGTCACACATTTGAATATCCATGAAGCTCGGAAAACGGGAAATGTGCAATTCATAACTTTTAAACTCTGATCATCCCAAAATGTATATCAACATAAGATTTGGCGGGAAGGGATTTATTGGTCCACTCCTTCTGGTACCGCCCCAACAGAGGGGTTAAAATTTTGAATAACAAAACCCATTCGATTCTCTTCAAAATTTCACATATCTCAATATTTTTACTAACACAAGATCTGGTGTAAAGATGATGGACATCGGCCTTCCCCTTCTGGTATCTGCCCCACGAAAGGCTTACATTTTGATTAACAATTATTCGCATAAAATTCGAATTGAATTGATTATCCTTAAACTAGGCACATCCCAATATTTTTATCAATATTAGATGAAGCAAAATACTTCGGTCCAATATCTCTGGTACCTCATGCACATTTCAACATTTTCCATAAATTATTATGAAATATTTTATAAAATGAAGGAAATAATACAAATACGAAATGGACAATATTGGCCCACTCCTTTGGAACCGGAAGGGTCTACAGTTTGATTAGTCACAACACAAGTCAAAATATATTTGGATAAACGAATATTGGCTGCTGGTATACATCTCCTGGTAAAACCGATTTATGCCTTTCATCATGTATAAAATAATTGTTTAAGACTTTCCAAATCTAAATTGCGGATTGTTAATAATTTTTGTTTTATAATTTCTTCCCTAAAACTCTAAAACTTGTGGACTTTGTTAGAACTTTTAAAAGACATCCTGGTAAATAATCGTTTGATTATTTTTTCAAGAACTTTTTATTGAAAAGTTTAAGAACCTTTTCAAGAACAATACCAAAAAAAGAACAATACCAAAAAGCATCTACGAGTTATGTTAGAGTGTGTATGAATATTTATTATCAGCAAACAAAATATTAAATTTTAATATTTCAAATTGTATGTTGGAATTAATCAAGTTCGTTGACCTGCAATTCGTTGACTTTCACTGAGAATTTTATGCATATGCAAACTTTTGCGCATCTCTTGTTTTCAAAAATTTAGCTTAAAGTTAAAACAACTTTAAATCCTAAATATAAAATACGACATATAATTAAACCTTATTACGAAATACGATAATAAAAATGTTAGTGACTTTCGAAAAAAAGTTACAGTCATAAATTGTAAATCGCGATCATGTCGAAAGAGACAGTACCAAACGAAAATTGAATAATATTTTTTGTAACAAACAATTGAAATAATTACAAACAAAAAATAATAACAACTCGATATTGATATCAGTTATTAAGCAACAATCAAAAAAACGGCAGGCACGCATTTGCATTTATTTTAATTTGCAGGCAATTCAATACTTCCGCTGCCAGATAAATTACAATTTTTCGATTATAAAATTTTGTATTTTTTTACAACTTTAAACAGTTATTCACTTTTTATAACAGAAAAAAATACAAATTTGAAACCATAAAAACGACGTTGAAATACATAAATCAATTGCAGCCTAATGATGGCGAGTTTCGTGGTAGTGGACATGAATGATTAACGGTGCATGGGAATGATTTCGAGCGGAGAGAGTCATTGATCATTGAAGAGAATTGTTTGAGATTGCCAATATTAAAATGATTTTAGGATCCTTGATTTGGTCTCCATTTAATATAAATCTAATACTGTATCAATTTAAACAAGCTTAGAGAATGTGGAAAAGGATACATCATGTCCACATTGGCCTCAACAGTAAGCATTTATATGTATGATGTATACCCTCAGCCAATGTTCGATTATTTAAATATATTTTGACGACTGTTATGATTATTCAAATTGTTGACTCTCTATGGAGTATCGGATGAAATCGAATATTAATTTCTCGTTTTATGATCTTCATGGATATTCAAAATTTTGTGGGAGAGGTACCAGCAGGAGTGAACCGATATGCCCCATATCCACAGCAGATCTTATGCTAGTGGAAATAATGGGATGTCTAAAATTTGATGAGAACCGGATGCTTATTTCGGATTTCCTAATAGTTTGGGATATTCAAAATTTTGACCCTTTGTATGGGAGGTACAAGAAGAAATGGTCCGATCTCTACCATCTTTATAATAGATTTGAGATATTGAGGTGTACTAAGTCTGAATGAAATCAAATGTTAATTTCCCGTATTATGAGATTGATGGGTATTCCCCCCCCCCCCCTTGTGGGGGAGGTACCAGATGGAGTGAACCGATATACCCCATATCCACAGCAGATCTTATGCTAGTAAAAATAAAGGGAAGTGTGAAATTTCATGAGAACCGGATGCTTATTTCGGATTTTATGATCGTTTTGGATACTCAAAATGTTGACCCTTTGTGGGGAAGGTACCAGAGAAAATGGTCCGATCTCTACCATCTTTATAACAGATCTTGTGTTGATGAAAACATTGATATGTACCAAGTCCGAATGAAATCTTATGTTAATTTCGTGTTTTATGAGCTTCATGAATATTCAAAATGTTGAACCTTTGTGGGGAAGATACCGGAAGGAGTCTACCGATGTATCCCCTCTTCACAGCAGATCTTGTGTTAGTAGAAATGATGGGATGTGTGAAAAATGAAGAGAACCAGATGCTTATTTCGGATTTTATCATCGTTTTTGTTATTCACAACTTTGACCATTTGTGGGGGAGGTACCAGAAGGAAAGGTCCGATCTTTTCCATCTTTTGTTTATGGAAATATTGAGATGTGCCAAGTCTGAATGGAATCGGATTTCAATTTCATGTTTTATGAGCTTCTTAAATATTCAAAATGTTGAACCTTTGTGGGGAAGGTACCAGAAGGAGTGGACCGATGTATCCCATCTTCACAGCAGATCTTATGCTAGTAGAAATAATGGGATGTGTGAAATTGGATGAGAAACGGATGCTTA